CATGGGCAGTGGCATGGGCAACATGGGCGGGGGCATGGGCAACAACATGGGGGGCGGCATGGGCGGCAGGATGGGGGGAATGAATAACATGGGCGGGAACATGATGGGCGGCAATATGGGCGGTGGTGGGGGGAGTGGCTTTGGGAGGGGAGGCAACTTTGGATCGGGAGGAGGAAGCAGTGGTTATAGTGGCAGTTCTGACATGGGAGGCGGAGGGCGGAGATTCTAAACCACACAGGTCATCCACAGGGGATCAAAGGTAAGTGCTCAGTTAGTTCTGTTAGTTCTTCAGTAATGCATAGTCATTATTTTGTTTTGCATTTGGTCAGTATTAAAGACCCCTTGGTTAATTTGTCTTACCTAAGAAGGGACAGTTGCGGTGCCCAGAAGCAGAATTAATCATATTCTGGCCATTGGAATTTTGACCACTACATATGGGAATAGAGACAAAGCATCCACTGCATTGAAGTGAAAAACGGGGTGTCTGGGTTGCAAGTAAAGGACATGCATTTATATTACAAAACAAGTTTTAGATAATGGCCAACAGGGTGTCCAAACAATACCCAGACACCTGTCCGGCTGGCACTTTGCCAAAAATCTCTCTTTTTTTTTTTTTTTTTAAATCTTACACGTGTATGAATATGTACAGATAGAAATCATTCCGTGGATCGTGTACCTCCTCATGGGCTGTAACTGAACTTTGACCAAGGATATTTGTTTTGGCAGTGGGAGGCATTGTACATGTATGTGTATTAACTCTAAATTTTTAGTTCACCGACCCAGAAGTTGAATCTCAGATGACTCTCAGTTTATAGTTAATGCTAGTTTAAAAAAAAAAAAAATGGAGCAGAAATTCCTTATTTCCCACCTCTGATACCACATGTGCATATTTCCATATGGACCTGTTCAACACAATTTGGACTGCTTTCCCCCCATTTCATTCATGTCTGTTTTCATAGATGTATTCGTGCCCAGTTTTAATATTCCAGTTTTACTGTTTATCACAGGATTTATAGGAGGTTTAGTTACCCGGCAGAGGGACAGGTTACATGCAGGGAGAGACAGAGAGTTACTCAGAGTGACACAAACGGTGACACACTTAGTCAGAAACAGGCACATATTTGTGTGTCCCCGCAGGCTTGGCAGGACACAAAGAGATGTACAGTGTATGGTAGACATTAGACATTGGACTAGGTTTGCAATGTGAAATGTAACCGTCGCATCATGTTTGCCCCAAGGCTTATGTACTGTAATGTAAGTCAAAAACATCTTCACCCCTGTAAAAACTGGAATATCTGAGAACGTCACCTTGATTAAGGAATTGGGGTTATTCTTGGATAAAGTAGGTTTTAAGCACTTGTATTTGCTTTGTATATTGTGTATGTAGACTAGAACCAACCATTTTTTAATGTTTGTCAAAATTACTTGCTTAAAGGCTTTAGTTCTTAAAGATGAAATAAAATGCTGTACCATGGTGACAGAACAGGCATGAAATATTTGGATGTAGCTACAAATTCCATGCAATTTCAAATTTAACTTATGTCATGAATACCCAGTAGAATAAAACTAAAACCAGCCTTTTGATAGGTTTCACCCACATCTACTTCATGTGTTTAGAAATTCCTGGGTTCAGAGAGTTTTAAGTGGTTGAGTTGTCCTGTATCATGTGAACGTGTAGATAAGTGCTGATCTTTATTTAGTAATTCCTTATCTTGGTTAGATTATGAAAAGCAGTAATTGTTTGAACAATCCTTTGAACAGTCCTTTTTTTTCAGAGTGTTGTAGAAAAAGTTAATGAGATCTTTCGTTCTATAAGATTATCTTTTTATTTTTCAAAATCAACTGCTTGGTTTTGAGTTGCTTACGTATGAACGAGTGGCTCTCTTCCAGTCTTGTCAACGTGACCAACCTGACATTTTTTCAAGCCGTAGTAAGGCTTCCTAAAACCACATCTAGCACCTTTGGAAGTCCTTACATGGACAGCTGATAGCATGTGTTGTTTGTGTTATTATTACTACAAGAATTCAGGGCCACACAAACACTAGATAAGATAATTTTTAGCCCTCTGTTTCTAAGAGACCACGGATTTATGAATGTTGGTAGTTAGTAGGGTGCAGTATAGCAAGGGTTTAAATGACAAATTTGCAGCACATGTATTTATGCAGGTGCAGTAAAGTTAAGAAGCATATCAAGTGATCTCTGTCAGAGGCACCCTCTAGAAGTTGGGCATTTGCAAACAGAAAACGAGTGTTCGAATTTGAAAGGAAAACCAAAGTTAATCCCTGGAATAAGTGTTTTTGTTTGCTGTATCCCTTGTTTCGTTAAGCTTAATTTAACCTATTTTGGGTTGTCTAATTTCAGTAGTATGGGTTCATTAGTTTTGATTTCTGTCTAGGTTATTCAAGTTACCAGGAAAATTGTCTGGAAAAAGTTTTTATTATGTGTAAATTTGAGTTTTAGGAGTACTATAGGCCGTGTCAGACCTGCTAACTTCCTTGCATACTTTTTTAGTCTATTTTTTCTGAATTGCTCATTCCAGATTGGATTTATTTTCTCTGTATTCTTGTTCTTTTGCAAGTACATGTAGTTGTAAGACCACCTGCCTGATTTTTCCATTACACATTTTTCAGCTACATATAGTGAACTTAGTGACTTTACTGGACTACTTTCAATTACGAGGATTAAATGGATTGCCTACATGTATATACACCGTTCTCGAGAGGTGACAGTCCAGTTGTTTGATCTTTGATTCAGTACACTAAGCTACCAGAAATTATACGATATGAGTATTTACTGTCAAACTGTTTGTTTTTGTTTTGTTTTTTTTTGGTGTGATTCTGCCAAACTTAACCTTTTGACAGGCAGTTTTGGGTCTGGTTAATTGTAGCAGTTGTGTGTAAATTTCTGAAGTTTGAAAGGCGTATTCGTTTTATGTTCAGAAATTGTTTCCATTGTCTCAGTGAGGTTGTAAGTTTCATTCAGAAGTGAGCCTGAAAACCCGCACCGAAATGATTGGAGCTGGCAGTTTCCAGCTTGTCTTGCCCACTTCTGTTTACCATTGAAGCAATCCACAGTAATGGAAACACTTTCCTGACCACTGGTTCAATTTATTTCAAGTGTATGCTGGGTTGCATCATGTAGGCTTTACGTCAGGAATAAGAACTTTGTAATTGTGGGGGAAAAGGTTACAGAATTTTTTCTTTGTAAGGCTCTACGTTTGACATTGCTGAGCACTTATCATGCTTACAATAAATGCCATTGTGCTCATATTTATGTAATGATGATACTCTTAGAGGCATCATTTATTCCAAGGCCGTCTATCTGAATGTTGGTGTACCACTTTCACATGCTTTTCAGTGTTCCTGCCACTCAAAACAGGGTAATGCACTCCGAAGGAGTAAACGACAGAGGAGTCTTTAGTTAAGTACATGTATATACTTATGCACATAAATACAGCAAGAACGCACTGCAGAATGATCAATCCATCCTGGGAGTTGCATTGATAAGTTCATTTTTTCCCCTACGGAAGATTGCTTGATGCAGCGCTGGAAAAAATATCTTAGTTGAATTGGCAGGTAGTTGCTAACGCTGGTTTCGTCTTGGGGACAGTTTCCATAGTTACCTAGAACTCTGAAGGTGAGGCATAGCAGATGTACTTTGGCAGGTAGCCCCAGGTAGGCCCCAAGAGATGATTGTGTTGAATAGAGTTGCATTAACAGAAAGCCAGTTGAAACGAGCAGATGGTTTACACAGGGTATATTGAGTTTATTCATTAGGTTTATCTTGTCGTGCTCAGAACACATGCCGTGGTACTTGCGCAGGGTTAACTCTTCTTTGTGTCTCCAATCCATGAAAAGTATTCACAGGGAAGTTCTTTATGGATTGATAACTCCTCCCCTTTTCCTCACCCATCCCAACCACCACCCCCCCCCCCAAAAAAGAAAAACTCCAACCATTTTGGGGCCCCAATCACATGGGGAAAGGCACTGAAATGAATAGTTCTTCTCAGGAATTTGGTTCAACTTTGATAGTGTCCTGTCTTGCAAGTTTTGGACTGTGGCGATAAAACCATCTTTAAAATGCAAAACTTTAGAAACCATTGCCCCCCCCCCAAAAAAAACAGCTCAGGCTTTCCAGACCTGCTAATCCAATTGATGTATATTGTACATAATTTCATGACTTTTTTTTCCCCCGTGTCTCATGTCTCGACAGTGACTGCCGTCCATCATACTGGGATGTAGTACGGCTTTCAGATGTGCGCTCTGACAACCGTTGAAGGCATTGCCTTGGTTCATGAAATGGTAAGCAGTTTTTGATGCTGGGACCTTGTCTTTTTTTATCTAATCAGAACTGCTGATCTATTGGATGTTCTCATTTTTAAGGGACATACATGTATGCTTGCCAGTCGTCCAAGCTATCATATTTGGTTGACAGCTTGTACGTTACAAGTACATAAGCAAAGCCAAAGTCCTGAACTAGCAAAATGGGTTCAGATTGGGATTTATGGACACAAGCTAAACTTGTCTTGAGCACCATCGGATCATGCTTCTTTTGAATTATCCTTTACCCCACTGTGATAGTTTGAAAGCATTATGTACCGTACACTTCGAGTGCATAAAGATGGTCTAAGTTCAGGATGGTAACTATTCTACTTAAAGAGTCATGCTGTCAACTCGTAATTTAAAAGTTACACAAAAAGCTGGGGGTGTAGGGGGCGGAGGACTCACCATCAGAAAACTGACAAATGGTCAAGAGAGTCAGTTCTTAGGTATGACGTGTATCTGAGGTGGAAAAAACTAAAAGATTTGGAACTACACTCTGCAGAAGGGGGTTGAATCTTGTTTTGACACCAACCCAATCTGCAGATGCATTGCGATCTTTACATGCGATACAGGAAGCCTAACTGGTAACGTCATTCAAATTAATACTACTGAGTACATGTATTTATAACGCACCAACTCCATCATCAAAAAATGCTCAAGGCGTATGAGAATTAACAAAACTGTAGTTTGGTTATGTTTTTTCTGACATTTCCTGAGTCATTTGGCTCCATTTTGACGCCTTTGTGTATAAGGTCAACAAGGAAGTAGGTTTCAAATGTATCTTATTCTAAACTGCCCTCTGCAGTTGTGATAACAAAATTCTATGGGAGATGATCGGGCATGCGCGGTCCAGATTGCAGTCATTTTTTTGAGTAGACTGTATACAAACATTTTCAAGCCTAGTTAAAGAGTGTGACAGCTGGCAAATTTCATGCATTTGCATATCACTTTTACTGAGCCAGATGGTCAAAGATGGCGAAAGTGACAAAGATCAACTGGGTGCCAATGGGGAACCCCCTTCCCCCCGAAAGATGATGAAAATTTCCAACTGAATGTGGATTTTTGCGGCAGTAAGCAACATTTCGGCCACCAGTGGATAAAAGGCAGTGCAGCCCTCCATGCTGACTACCTGTACATCAGGTTTCTGAATGCTGACAATCAATTTACATGTATTTCCCACAGAATGCTGCGACCGTCGCGCCCGACGAGCAGCTTCTTGGACCATGGTTCCTCTTTATGAATGCCAGTGACCAATCCTCACCTCCACGGACGTGTACTGTTCAAGGCCTTGGACGATGGCCCACCAAACTGTAATGCTGAGGTAGAACCTACACCTCTAACTTCAGCTCCCTATTGATATACAGAACTCATTCGTTCACACTCACTGAGAGTTATTCAGCGCTCAAAAAAGACCTTGATAAGAGAAATTACCAAAGAGCCAGATATAAAATTACTTTTTTTTTATTAAATAAATTTTTATTATCAGTGAGGAGACTTTTTGCTTTTTCTTGTGTGGTATGGCTACGTGAGACGTTAGTGTTTTCAAGTGAGTGCAACGGCAAGTTGTTGAAGCCCAAGGTATAGATAGGCCTATAGATATTTTTGCAAAGTTCATTTGTTTGAGACATATGTTCTCCAGTTCATTCTTGTGAGATCTATGTTTAGAAACATTGTTTCATTTTAGAAACATTTTAGAAACAAATCGTTTTTAGGAGATTTATTTTTCAAGTTTATTTTTGAGGGGTTATATTTTTCCAAGTTCGTTTATACGAGATATTTTGGGTTTTTTAAATTGATGTTTCTGAGGAAAACTAGAAACATGAAAATATATATCCCTTGAAAATTATCTTGAAAAAATATGTCTCATAAAAACAAACCTAATAAACAAAAATCGCAAAGACGAAGTTGAAAAAATACGTCATAAAACAAACTTTGAAAAATATGCTTTACTATTTGAAAATACATTTTTATACTTGATGGCACTACACGGCCTTTGTACGAAGGAAACAACTGTGTTGGGTACTTTCTACCGGGCGATATGTGCTTTATTGGATGTGTAAATTGGCCCTAACAGTTATTTCAACATTAAATACTGCCAGGAATATGATGTTGCCTTCTGCCACTTTCTAAAATATTACAGTGCAATTAGACCCTGGTCTTTTTACCTGATGTGTGTTTTTACCTTGGAAATATTATTTTTAGAAATCAAGTATTCTCCTAGTTGTACAGCTGCTTATAAACTTTCATACGAATTGAAATTAAAATGGACTTTTTACCGCCATTTTTTTTCCTTTATGCGAATAGCATCAGTGTCATTTTTACGTCTGTGTCTCGTAAAGCCACAAATACTCTCCTCACTCTCTTTCTCTCTGCGCAAAAGCACCCTGCCTATTCAAGCTAACGAATGTTACTTAATGAACGTTCGCAATTTAACACGCATGCGCTTAAATGTCATAGCAGCCCAAACAATTGAGCAACCAATTGAAAATGAGGTAACAGTTTCAATGCCTTTTGTACTCAAATTCTCCAGGATTTTTCACTTATTTTTCTTCAGAAAACCCTCTAAAATCGTCAAAGCTATTACAGGTGCTTTCTGGTCATATTGGGGATTTTGGTGTACTTTTTTTTTAAACACAAAAACCACACAAAATTACTTTCATACTTCAGGAGTTTCTCCAAAACTTCACCATATATTTACTCAAAATTTATGCTTACTTAAAAGTATTTTGTATATTGTGGCCCTTTGATTAATTACAAGTTGAGGACTTCCTGTAGCCTGTATCCTCAAAGAACACATTCAGAGGTTTTCCTGACGGGAGGTTAATTCTCGGGCGATTTTGGCGCCATGCGTGTTTCACTCCAACTTGCACAGGTACATTTACACCCAATCCCAGAAGTGTTTGGTGCGTTTTTCTTTGACCCAAACACCTGTACAGACATTTTTCCCTGTGATGTCACGGTCGTGCTGGACCTGTGATGGCAAAAGTGTTGTCATGGTTATCTACCTATTCAGGATAAACTAGTCAAGCATGCAGCGTTCGCACGTGCGGTTGCACGTGGTTGAAGTTGTCCGTAGGAAAAGGCGGTCCACACGTGGTGGTATTGCTCTCATTTAGTCACATGAGTGAAATCGAAAAAGGTCTTTTGTCGTAAATAGGGTGCGTTCGATTAGCTTACTCGGAGCAACCATGACGCAACCATGACCTGGGTATGGCAATGTGTGCTGTGTTACAAACGAGACGGTGAGACGATGTTAAACCCGAGTCAACTCGCGGAAGCCAATCAAACGCACCTTTTCTGCATTTCAAGTAACACTGTCAGACCATGGTCAGACCCACTGTGGCTGCGTGGCCGGGCCATTGCTTTGTTGTTGCACAGCGTCCCTCAAAAAATGCAACAAAATGCAAAAAGGCATGCCAGATGTAGTATGTTTAACTAACATATAGATAGTACATGTATATGTATGGTTTGAATGATAAGTCGGTCTACTTTGGAATAAACGTCCAAACCTGATAAAATTCGACAGAATTATGAGTAATTATCAAAGACATTGTAAAATTGACCATGTTACCAACTTTGCAATTTTAGGCGGTGGGACAAAGTTGTCGTGATTGCGTCTGTGTGGATAATTGCCTTGCCTACAAAAATTTGTGTTGGGAGTAAACACAATTTTAAACACTTTCTTGCTATCAGTTTGCATACATGTTTTGCATGCTTAGATTTTTACGAGGACGGACAGTGATTCGCCATTGAACATCGATGTTTAGGAATTGGGCCCTTGCGTTTAGCTGGTAAACATGTTTACAAATTGATCGCAAGAAAAGTATTTACAGTAGAATCTCATTAAGAAGAGGTCCTTTGCACTTTGCACATTGCCTTATATATCAGTAACCCTTGTATAAGTAGGAGTGAAAAAAATGAACTCTGGATTGGGACCTAAAAGTAATTATTTTTGTTACACAAATAGTTACAATGTATTTAACAGTTCTCTTATTAACGAAGGTCGACTTTACTTGCTAAGTATAGTTATTTCAGAATGTAACTGTACAATGTAATTATGCAACTGTAGTTTCAATTCACTTATCGTCAGACACTGATCACGGTTGGTTTTCAACCGGCTGAACACTTTTTGGGAGGTCAAGTTATTATCCCTGCATACGGAGTCAATTAGGCTATCCTTGTCTCAGTGCTTAAAATTGAAAACTTGGTCCTGCAGTTGATGAGACCTCCTTCAAATACTACAACTCTGTCAAAAGTTGTAAGATTTGGAGGTTTGATGTCTCATTTTGAAGTGGAAAGGTGCGTCTTTCAAACCATACCTGTATTATCTATGTTGGATACACATTCTTCGTCTCGCCTTTGTTATTCATCACTTTTATGAGACACTCTGGAGAAACTCTTACAAATCTACCTGTCTTGGATGCTTTTGAAGACAGAAAGAAAATGAAATCAACTCCGACCACAAGAAACCTTGTTGCGGCAGGAAAGAACCCTAACCAATTATTAAAGCAGTCTAAAATAGTTAAGTCTTCACTCGTTTTTACTAGAAAAGATTGCAATGAATTTTTAACAACTTAGTTTTTCTGCCCCTTTTCCTTCTGATTACCGTGTCAGTAGCCGGCGCTAACTCATATCTTTGATAAACTCCCCTCTGAGTTGGATTTCAGGCCAACAGGGTTGGCTCGGGTGATTCTGGTCACGCTGATTAAGATGTCTCCAGATTAACTTGGAGTAGTTGTGTGTCGTTTCATTTACATAGACTCACTGCTAGATATGCACAGGTTCACATAGTGTTAACGCAAAGATTCATATTAGGGTACTGCAAGAAATATTGATTTTTGAAAACTGTGAACCTTTGGTTTAATGCGTAACGATTTCATGCTGAATCCAACTTTGAATTTTACGTTTGTTTGCTTTATAAAATGGCCCGTTGGATGAGCCTGGAAAGAGGGTTCAAAGTGCACCACCATGAGAGATAATCTTTCTTTTCTTTGATAAAGCAGAATATAGCGTTTCCTCATTGACAGTTCCATCGTTCCCAATTTGCACTTAACCCACGCTGGAAAAGCCTAAGATATAATTTGAGATCACTTTTTATGCCAGCTTGCGTTTTATTTCAAAGATTTTGAGTTCAGTACTTGTCCACATCGGCGTAAATTCCGGGAAGAGAGGGGGTATATCATCCCCTATTCTTTGAGGGTGGTGGCTATTGAATCCCCCCACCCACTTTTGTGGTGAGCAAAATATTAAAAGCGGATTTTTAATAATTTTGGGACTTCCTAACGACTGAAATGCATTCTAATTCTCTCAAAAAAGGGAAATTAATAAAAAGCCATAAAAAAGTCAAGGAAACTTGAGGAAAATGCTCCTTTTTCTCGCACTGGGATAACTCCTTCGAGCTGGATTTGGAGGATGGTTTCCTGGACTGTTCCCCTTCATTTTGCCACAGATAACCTTGACCCCAAAATGCCTCTGAAACTATTTTTCAGAGAGGGGAAAACATTGTGTGGACGTGTGCGAGTCTTCACAATGCCATCATAACCTACATTATGTGGACTGCTTTTGTGCAGAGGTTGACACTATGTGTAACACGCCTGCACAACATTACAAGCAGGGAAATTAGAACTTGCTTTCTGATGTCATTGGCATGCATGAGCCGCACGCGTTACCCGACCCCCCCCCCCTTTCTGGTAAATGATTACTATACATGTATTGTATATGTAGACCTATACACAAGCCGTGCAAAGCTCTCCAGCATCCGCGGACCAAATAAAACAAGTTCCTGAAAAGTCATGTAAAGGGAGGTATATTAGCATGCTTTTATTTCCCAACACGTTGTTGAATTGTGTACACCATGGAAAACGAAACTGGGAATACTCTTACTGAAGAGTTCAAAAGAAAATGTAGAAAAGAGGAAGACCACGACAATCGTAACAAATGTCACGAACAAAGAGCTGGAGTTTTGGAAAAGCAAGGAGAAGGAAAATTCTGTAGAGAATGAAAAGAACACATACTTCAAAATGTCAGCCATGTCGGAGGAAAACAACCATTTAATCATTTCTCAATCACCGTAAGACATAGGCTGTGAATTCCCTCGGCCGAGACATTCGAAATACAAATCATAGCAAAATAAACAATTTGAAACACAACTTCGCTGGCCAATACTGATGTGAAGTTTTGAAAAATATATTAAGGTATAATTCCCTAGCATAAGAACATCTTTCCTCTGGCAGAAGTAAGTTTGGGTCATTTTCTGGTATAACTCAAATTTCAACAACTGGCTTCATAACGTCCTTCGTGATAAGCGGCAGACAAGAAATTAACAGAAAATCGAATCTTTGAAGTATTCCTGTTCAGAATGCAACAAAGTATACTATCTTTGTTGTAAAATTATGCAGCACTTGGATACCTTTGACATAATTAAATTATATACATGTAGGCCTTTATCGCATAAACTTATCTTAAATTCGACAAATTAAGCAAAATAATAACATTGGACGCAATAACTGTCAATGAATTCAGAATCCAATTACTTTATTCAATTTGTAATCAAAGTGCGTAGACACAATGGAGAGTATAGTTCATAGAGTACACGTCACACGCACAATGTGTGTGTAAAATTAACCACGTATGTTCGGTCCCCATAGACTGTGCATGCATTTAGTTTTGTTTCCGCGCATGCGCAATAGTGACATGATGGTCGTCGGCCTGAAAAATTATTCTAGCAGACGACGCGCATCCGGTGGTGACCCATGTGAGGGATTTGTACTGCCCTTTCCCTTGAAGACCTCGTGTGTGAATAAATTGCCAAGAGTCTATCAAATGGTCATATTTAATACCTTCTAGTAAGAAAGATCGCCAGAAAGTAATCAAAGAAGTGGAAAATGTCAATTTACGACAAAGTATAATTGTGAAAACTTATCCTTTTTTTTACCTAGCGTTGTGTCTAATTTTCACAATTTTGCCGAGTTTACCTTCAAATAACTTTGATACCACATGAAAGACTGGTAACTCTTATGTACAAAAAAGGTTATTGCATCTAGGAAGAAAGCTGTTTTTTAAATTCACTTCGTTTTTCATTGGGGCCCATTTTCGTCATTTTCCATGTTTTTTTCCTAATTTAGGGCCTAGTGCCCAATTTTCACATTTGTGTCGAATTCCCCTCGGATCATCGGTGACACTGTCGGGAAGACTGAAAAATATTTTGTATCTATCAGCTGATTTTATTTTTCAAGATCAAGAGCCATTTGTCTGAAATGTGGTTCGTTTTTCATGCGGATTCAAATTTCCGCATTGAGTTTGGCAGCGGTCAAATACCAGGTGTCCGGATTTTGGGCATGGTGCACACGTACACGTACACATATCTGGGCCCTTTTCCAATACTCGACTTGGGCTTCGTCTCAGGCCAAAACCAATCCCCGATTGTGGGCCAGAAGCGTTTAAATTAAATTTGATTACTGTAATTTCTGGCTCTCTTGCATCTTATTTGATGTTTTGTGGCACTATTAAACTAATTGCTGCGCTTACAGCTTCAACGTCAGCTAGTTAAAAAACAGTTGAAGCCTGAGACGGAGCCGAATTGAGTATTGGAAAACGGCCCTGGATACTAGTGCCTTTTGGTACATGTTGACTTACTGCATTGCTCAAATACGTACAATCACGTCAAGTTGCCCGACTAAAAGGCACAAACAAAAACTTTCCGTTTTCACCCATACGGTTTCCTTCTTATATGATGCTTTCTCATTAGAGTGTTCATGATATTCCTCACCATTTACAAGTAGAGAAATGTCAGGGAAAACTCGGCCAAATTGAAAAAATCCCCTCTAAATCTTGGCTTCACTTCCAACTTCTGACTCTGTTACTGTGGAGGTACGTGACAAAGACGGGCAAAAAATTGGGCAGAAAATAGGTTTTTCTCGTGTGCAAGTTAGCAACATGGACTTTGAGTATTTAAATTCTAATCAGTATGGAAATGACGGCCAAACAACTTTATCTGAGCTTCATGTCTTGTCGATTACTTTTGGGGTCCACCTGCCCGATTCAAGAATCATATTACTGGCTTCAACTGCTATAACGGGATTCTAAGTGAGAGGCATGAACATACGTGAAAAGGCACCACATGCGTCACACTTCGGTACTCTATCTGGTTCGTAAGTCACACACGCGCACGCATCATGAATTATATGGTCCCATTGGATAAACAGACATAAAAATTATGCGCGCCATTGGCTTTTACATAAAAACAACCTGAATAGCTGGTCAGCGTCATTTTCGTATTCTACTCAGCCAGAAGCTAGTGAAGGCGCGCGAGCGCGCGCGCACGCAGCCCATGGAGTCGAGGTTGCATGTAACTTTATGTGCAGTGGGCGTGGTTTTAACACTTACGAACTGGATAGTTAGGACTGCGACGCACTATCCGCTCCGAGTGGAACAAAAGAGGGTGTTTTTTGTACTCATCATAGTGGAGATCAATGTACTCACCACAGAGGCGCGCGTTTATAATGGAGATCAATGGCGCGTTTGACGCGGAGCACGCTGGTATGCGTAACAGCCTTTTTCCTGAATGTATGGTCTTTGCGTACACGCAAGAACCCGCTTGGAAAACTTACTACCATCTGTTTTTCTTTTGCTGCTTGGGGGTGCACTTCAGCTCGGGGCGGAGAGGCTATAAAGCATTAAGAATATATACGGCAATAAACAATAGTGCTCACCAAATTGAAGAAGCAGATTTGTAGATATGGTAGTGTCGCAATGATTCTCAAAGTTCCAAACATTCTCAGCATTCGAAGTAATCCTAAACTTTAAAAATGACCCAGAACAGTAAATTGAACTTATATGATCAGTAACTCAAACCAAGACCATCATCGTTTACACACATTCGTTACAGGGCGGTGCGAATGCCTTACAAACGCCGGATGGTGTACACGTCGCATCCGTAGCCCACACAGAACGATTCGTCGATACTGACAATGTCGACGAGCTCCCAGACTCCCTCCTTTATCAAGATGTCGATGGCATTTTGAATTTCGTCCAAGGCGCCAGTATGATTCTCGTTACCATCGGGAAACACAAGCTTGCTGCGTGTGAAGACGATAAAACCACCTACAAACGATGACAAAGCAAATGAGATGCTGAACGTCCTGTTGACAACATTATGCTGTTCGTGTACAAGAGATTCTGTTGTCATCTGGCACTACGGGTGCTGCTGCGTTTTATCCTCAGTACATTATTAGTAGATTCAACATTAGTGATTCGGTACAGATACTGCTGCCTCCTGTAAGTGGACTTATTTCCGAGGCAAACTATTCAAGTTGTCTCTTGTTGCACACTTTGTGCAAGACCATCTGGCAGAACATTATGTTATTGTTGATATATAAAACCTCTCTCCCTCTATCTCTCCTATGTAGCCTCAAAGCAAGTGATTAATCATGTAAAGTTTGGCATCCTATTGAATGCATTCCGTCTTGAACCGTCAAACCCCTTTCTTTAACTTTCACGTTACACTCTCTGCTCAGTATTTTCGTTGAAGGCCAGACTGGCCAGTTTATGCTCTATGCGACAGTGAAGCGAAAATTACGGTACAAAACATATGTGGTGAAATTTGCTAAGGCTGAAATGTGCTGAACTTCAGCGAATTCGCTGCACAAATATTTGAAACGACGTCACAAAATTAGCGTTTGTGCTCGCTTTCGAGCCAATCATGAACCGCGGCCTGTAGAAGATGTGGTGTTCTGTCCTACTGTTTTTCACTCGTGGGCAAAAGTACCATTTAAACCAATGCCTACTCTACTGATTTCCAACGGTTGTGGTGTGGTTGAACGCTTTAAAATGTGGGGGAAATGTTACCTTTCTTGACAATCCTGTTAAATTCTGGAAAGACATCATGAGTCAGGTGTCCAACTGAAATGGCACCAACGCAGATCAAGGCTGAGTAGTAACCTATATCGGATTCCAAGGATACAAACATAACGAGCAGTTTCTCCGAAAAAGTGTCAGCCTGTAAAAGATAATTTTTTTTAAGTTAAAGACTATAGAACAAGTTTGAACCTTTCCTTTTTCATTTGATAAAAACGGGGAAAAGTTCAAATAGGCGGTCAAGCTGGGTTTAAGCGACACGGTTGTGTTTGTGCTGACGCTGCTTCTAAGTGGAATTCAATACCAACAGAACCCTATACATGTATTCTGTTCCACAGTATGATGAAAATGTTACAAGTAAAATATATGTATTGCGTGCTGCCTGCACCGCCATTTAGAATACCATGTTCATACGAATGGATTTGGTCGTAGACTTGAAATCAAGTCGGTAACTGACCGGGTGTGGTCCACCTTCCTCGCTCGCGATGCGTACGCAGTGTGCATGAGCATGGTTCGGCGTGCAGTTAACAAAACAGTGCAACCTTGCTCCCCAATTTGCGTGTCCGGCGGTGCCCAATTACCAACTTGAATCAAAATTTGGACGGGGCACTATGGTTGGCTAAGAATCCCGATTATATGAATATTTATCTTGGGGGAAGTTTGATTGGTTAGTTGACCGAAATTAGCAGCAATCACAGTACGTTTATTGAAGAGGGTATTTACATTCTTCTAAAAAGATGATGTCCATAAAATCTTTGGTTCTTTTACCACAAAGATTAATTTTTGATTATTTTAATTATTAATTAAAGTTACTTTTTATTCATATTTTATGTAAAGCTTGTCGTTAAGTATCGTATTAAAACGGGATATTAATGCAAGCTATGAAAGAAACTGGCATTAATCAATGTAGTCATCCCTATATAAAATGGATGAGTCTGTTATGCAACGTGAGCTACTATTGGATCTTTCCACAGAAATATATGAATATGCAGTAAATTGTTGCTTGCATGAATATACTTCCAGAATCAGGTTGATCAAGTTGTCAGGCAGGCACAGTGGGGTCGTGGGCTGTCCAACGTGCGTTCGAGCCTGGTGCTGAACAGCCCACAACACGCAGCTGGATGGAATACAGGCAACGGTGAATGGGCTCAGCATTGCTGGCTCATGGACGACAAACACGGCCGACTAACGACTTGATTTCAAAGATATGTAATACAAAACTGCTCCAAACTGCTTGCTGACTACAATGACCTAACATACAAATCTCAAAATATGGAGGGCGTGGCGTTTCGATCCTAGTAGAATCTTTCTCAAAGGCAAAATGACAAGTGGACAAGGCAAACAAGCATTAAGGCATTATCACCTGTAGCTCTTCTAATGTCAAATACATGTATCTTATCTCTTGCAGGGTGTGCATCGTTTCTATGGCCACAGATCTTAAGTCAACACCAAAGGACTAGATACCCATGTAGCACTATAGTATAGTGCAGAGGCGTTACATACAAACTATTATACAAAATACTATACAAACCCAAACATCCAAGAGGGAAACTACTAATTAACACTCTTTTCTTTCCCTGTCAATATGTCTCCCACTTGGTGTCCAGTTCGTTCCATTGTATTTTTTCTTTGATCTCTTCCCACCTTACATTCCTTTGTTGTTCAACCATGCCTTTCATGCAGTCCCTTTATCCAACCTGCAGCTTTCTTGACCTTTACTTTTGTTCTCTTGCATTCATCCATGCTTGGCTGATTCTCTATATGCTTGTTTGTCCTGTCCACTTGACATTTTGCCTTTGAGAAAGATTCTCTCAAGGATCGAAACGTCAGGCCCTCCATATTTTGAGACTTGATTTCAAGTCTACGTTGGTCGTAGAGCGCAAATGGTTTTTCCGCACAACTGACAGAGAGATGCTACTTTAAAACGCCCTGTCCCCTTTCAAAACAAACAAATATCCTGATCAGGCCCACAAAATTTAAATTTACCATCGTCAATCCCCTTCAGCCTGTTCGAGCCCAGTTTGTCACAGATGAGCCGTTCGTAGACTCCCTTCGAAGCGCTGATTTCCAAACACTTTGGGGAGAAGTCGACGGCGTCGATTCTTGTGAAACCGCGTTTAGCTAACTAGAGTGACACAAACCAAAACAAACACTAGGGATTAACCATGTTCGTTTGCTTTTAGTTTGTGGATATTAGTGGGGAGCTACTGCCATCGCCTGTAGATCGACTTGGCCAGTTCTGTTGTACAGTTTCTTTGATGTCCTGAAGACGGAACTAGGGCCACCGCAGATCCCTACTTCACAGTTCCACTTGCTTATGGGCCGTTTGTGCTAGAGCATTAGCTCGGTAGATGCCGGCTACTTCCTTGTTATCTCACCGTGTTGGCGCATAGGAAGGGCTATACACACGATCAATATACGGTTTTCATTGGCCCTGAAGATTCAGGTCAAACATGTAGTAGTCTCCCGTGCTCATTTCCTTCGATATTGCTCAAATTCCCACTGGCTACACGAATCTCATAAGCCCCCCTCCCCGCGAAGAAATGGCTTAGCTTATCTACATGCAAGCCCGAATTCATGTTTAAGCATAGTGTTTTGCATACCTCCTCGCCAACTTTTCCGGTCCCTGCAGCACAGTCGACGATATGGGCGTTCTTATCTTTCAACGCTTTGTTGAGTGCATCAGCTCCGAATGCAGGGCCACCGTAGTGGGTTGGATCCATGTCCTTCCAAAATTGAATGCATTTTGTCAGGCATAATAAAAACTGAACAGTGAGAAGAACTCCGTTTATATTGGCCTGTCATACACACGGTTTTGACTGACGTATGCGGAGTCACAATCACGCTGAGCAAATTGAAGTTAATGCCAATATGTGCACAAAAATTTAAGTAAGTATTGACGCAGGAAAAAGCAAATAAAACCAGAATCTATGTTTGGTTTCACTCAAGTTACTCCTAATACCACATGGGCGAAACAGCTAGGGCATGGGGACATACCTCAAACCACCAAATAAAGTTTGGACCAGGGATTAATTAATACGCCCCACGTTCTGGTACATTTGCAGCGATATGTTGTGTTAGGCTATTGGACAGAAACGCAACTTCGCCCTTTTGGAAACATTTCTCACCACGATTAGTCAAGTATCATTAAATTTTTTTAATTCTGTTCACTCGGTTTGTAAAAACTCAGTGTCTCGTGAAAGTTTCAAGTTTCTCAGCCAAGAAACAGACCCATCAAATCCAACCAAAAATACCCCGATTCCCAAACTTTGTGTGTTATACAGGAGGATTTGTCCCCTATATTGGAAACGTTTGGATTTGTCTTCACAGCTTTACATTCACGCTGTAAATGTTCGTTTAAAAAGTTCAAACGTGGCTAGAAAAAAGGCCAAATGCGGAAGCGAGCTTCTGATCAGGCGTGGTTTGTGGTCAATAACATGCTCATATACAATCTTAGGCCTAAGCTATTTCTCTTGAATGGTTCCTTGAAATCGGCTGTTGATAACCAGCGGTGCAACCATGCCCCAGTCTGGTTCTATCAACAAAACACATCAAAGTGGTAACATTATCACTTCTATAGAAAGTAAGATTTGTGAGAAAGATATCCAACCTTATGAATCGATTGTCTACTCTTAATTTATTGATTTCACGCATTTAGGCTATTCTGACTTTGCCGGAGAAACCTGTAAATTATCACGCAATTTCGAACTGGCCCAAAATTGTACCGTCCTGACGGCTACACGTCAAAACCAGTTTGTACCGCTTCTTCACACCAGAATGCTTAAAACAAATTCTTGGTGATCGGATAATTTCTTTAAAAAAATATTAAATCTTTCGATACCAATACCATTCGAAAAAGTGGAATCGATATGCTATGGTCATTTTCTGTTCACCTCTTCCATTGTTGTATACAGCAGACCGGTACGGTTTGTTGACGTCATCAGACGTCGACGATTGACAAGCATATGCATATATACCTCGTGCACATAATACACACACGGTCTAAAACGTCGTTCTTGACCCGCGATTGTTGCAAGTGATTTGCCTTTATTTTTGGGCGACAATTGATGTCAAATTTAAACCCATTTTGTAGCAGTATTCACATATTCACATCGGTTGAGCAGTGGCGTAACTAGGGTGCTACAGCTTAGGGGGCACCTGGGGATTCACAGTTATTTTCAGGGAGCACTGAAAATAATTGAACTTGGTATATATGTATTTGTACATTTCAAAATTTCAAATGGAGGGCACCGGGGGGGGGCACGGGCCTCCGTGGGGGGCACGTGCCCCCATGCTCCCCGGAGTTACACCACTGCGATTAAGCCGAAACAAAACGAAACGGCCTGTAATAAGAGTTCACCACTTCCACTAAGAGTAAGAGTAGACATTCCACCACTGTGACTAAGATTTGAGAACCAGCGGAGTGCAGCTCTGACCAAAGGAGCATCCGTTGTTAGGAAACTGAGCCCTCTCTTGGTCCAGCTCGGGGCTCATTTAACGCGCAAGCAAATTTGTACTAAACGGTCAGGCAAACCTCACGGTTCAACTTTTCAAATGTCACTGAACTTTCAGACATTGGTGTTTCAACTTTCAAAATCGTACTTCAACTTTTCAAACGTCGTGGTTCAACTTCTAACGTTGTCGTTCAACTTCTGAAGTCGCACTTCAACTTTCCCTCAGATGAGCATGATTTTAGATTTGTATATACCTGCACATACAAAGTTGTTGAGGTACACAACTGCTTGTTAGTTAGTTTAACTTAAAATCATGTCATATTTAAGTTGGAATTTCAGCGCTGATCAAGTGGCAAAGATGTATAGATGCAGTGACCAACATGGGCAGGTAATGGCACCAAAGTTATTTCTGCAAGTCCAACTTGAGACACAAGTCAAAGCTGGTAGACACGGGTCAAGTCACCAAGTCACCAAAATAGCAACTCGAGTCCATGTCGCATGACTCCAGTCAACAACTCTAGCAGATTAGGCCAAAACAAAATAAAGAGAACCTGTGGACCAGGCCAATCACAGGGTGCAAAATCTGTCGACAGATTTCGCGCACTGTGATTGGCCAACGCGTTGCAAACTCTTGGAGGCACACAATTGTGATTCGCCCGTATTGTACTAGCTCAGACCAGTTTGATTTCTCCATAGTTTCAAAAAGGGGATAAATCGTTGCATTTCTCTGCAGTAATCACAATGTAAAGCCTTCTGCTGAAGGCTCCCGACTCATGTCATTAAAAACGCCATCTATGCGTTTTTATTTCAACATAAATGTAGTTTTTCTCTGTTAACTTAACACTTTTTTTTCATTTGAAATTGCTTAAAAGGTTAATTTCCTCAAAGAGGGGTCACTCGCACTAAATGTTGATTCCAATTTCAAAATAACACCACTAGATTTCTCGTTCAGAGCATTCTAATCCATGAAAAAAATTTAATCGTCCTATTTATCGTCATTTTGGTTCACTCTGGTATTCAAAGCATTGACCCTTAATCTAACTTGCAAGAGTTCATAGGAACAACGAGTTATGACGTAAAACTAACCGCTATTTCACACCATCTGAATGCACAATTGAGTTTTTCATTTTTCCACCTAGACCGGCGCCTCTGAATGCTTTGCAGATATAGTGCGCCTTATAAATGCTTTATTATTATTATTACTATCTGAATAGTAAATTCAATTACGAAATTGAATGATTAAATCGGTGAAATGAATGACAAAAAACAAATTATCTTTCCAATTCAGTATCATTCACGGAGTGAGACGAAAATGACGATAAATAGGATGAATAAGAAATTTTTTGTTCATTACAATATTGTGAAAACGAAATCTAGTGGTGTTACTTCAAAATTGGAATCAACATTTGGGGCGAGTGACCCCTCTCTGACGAAATTAAACTTTCTTTGAAATGAAAATAGTCGCTGGGCAGATGTGAATACACTTTCTACTACGTAGAACGATAACTTACCATCAATTATAGTTGAAGAGAGACTCCAAAAAAGCGTAAGTAGGCTTGTGATATTTTTACGCACACAGCAACAGACCGGAATGCCAAAGGGACGTTGTTGGTACTCTAAATGTACGCAGACAAGTTTATCAAACATATAGAACATGTTCAACGACACTTCGTACGATAAGTTGAAGAATGACGTTGGAAAATTGTACCACGACGTTTGAAAAGTTGAACCGCAATTTTCGAAATTTTCATGACCTTTGAAAAAGTGGAATGACGACGTTTGCCAGTCCGTTTTAGAACACCGTATAGTTGGGGGGGGGGTTGGGCCTCCCAAGATGGCCCAAGTTGTGACGTCCAGCTCTCGGTCTCAACGCGAGTCGCCCATCATCATCCCTCCCCCAATCGCCGGCACAGATTTACGTCACTGCTGAACTACCTTGTCGTAACTGCCGGCCCATTTCTGGTAGAAGGCTTGTATACTATCATGGAAGTCGCCGCCTCCCCGGGCAATTTGGTGAATGGCATGCATATGCCTTGCCGCTTCACTGTTGAGGTTTTCCGACGAGTCCATCCTTGCCGTTGAGCTGTACAATGAGAGTACTTTTACATGAGCTGCGTTTTGGTGATAATATGCTTGATACGTACGTGCGCACGGGTGGTTATAGGGAGCGAATTCATGGGTTGAATTGTATACCATGGCAGATACTACAGGAAGGTAACATTGCTCTGGGTAGGGGAGGACATTCAACAGTAGCAGACGACAGGCCGTCAACGAAGGAAGAAGTTCAGCTCTGAGACATTTTAATGGAAATTGCCAATTTCTTTTCCCTTTCCTCTTTTTTTCCTCTTCATCTTTCCCCTTTTTCCTTTATGTGTCCTTTTTGCTAGAAGGTAGTCACCCCTTAACCTCCCCGTCGCAGTGTGCATGATGTGCACGCCTGACAAAATCGAAATGGTTTACAGTGTACTGTGGACTCGACCATTCAACTTTCGAGGTGTTGGTTGACACGTTTTGATGAAAAAGATAAAAACATGTAACAGCCTGGCCCCACGCATGAGCGCGACAACTTTGACCTGACCATCGTACATTTCAAAGATCTATGGAAAGTCATGATTTAGGAACTGCCAATGATGAAAAACCTAAACTAAATAGAAGCCAATGGTTGTTCCCAAATTCAAATACATAATATCAAAATAATATGTAACATGATAGCATCAGAACTATAAGCCCCTTCGGCTTCGCCGACGGTCTGATAAAACAAACCGCGTTGACCATCGCCCAGACAACACTGACGTAATTTTCTGATAAGTAACTATTATCACGAGCTTGCAAAAAAATTATGAAACAAATTTTCTATCAGACAAGATTTAACGACACAGGTGGTTATTTTCATGTACGGTCAAACACTGCTAGAAAATTTCGGTGCATTCTTCTGACATGTCAGCTTGTCGTTTATGGCTTCAACATTCGTAATTTCGATATATTCCCCCATTATTTGTTTGCATGTTTGGCATATGCATAGTTTTATATTCGGATTTGGTCATATAAATATTTCTTTGCAGATAATAAGAAAGAAGAAATATAAAATTTTAGAGCTACAAACTTTTAATTGATTTTTCATTGGATTTTAGAACTGCATGAAAGTGGCAAGGAATAACAGATGAATATTATAAAATACAGCCAAAGTAAAAAGGAGTACTTCTGCTGAAAAAAAACCACTCATCTGTACTGGAAAAAGGTTTTTTTTTATCACACATTATTACAGTATGCAGGTGTCGCCAAAAGTGGAAATGAAAACCTCAGACTCGGATAATTATGTTTCCACCACCTGTTTATTGGTTAGTGTTCACAACTAGTGAAACTCATAATATTTGTGTCAAATCATATACAGTCTGAGTGAAGCAAAACTATTGACCTTTTTAACAGAAGAAAGTTCTAAATCGACGGATATATAGAAAGGTCTACATATCTGGGATCCATTTAGTGGGCCACCCAATTACCCAATTAGTTTAAGTCATATCTAAGTGATCGTAGTCAGTCGGTGAATATTTAGGGCAACACATCAAAGGTTTTGTCACTTAAAGTTGGTGTTCCACAGGGGTCGATCTTAGGTCCACCTCTCTTAGTTATTTACACAAGTGATCTACCAACTTGCATCCATGGGCGACAATCCTGGGGGTGGGGGTATATACCCCCCCCCACACACACACACACAAGTGTGTATTTGCCTGCAACTGAGGACCCCCTATTGTTCCTCTTTTGTTTGTACTTAAATTTTTTTAAGAAGACCACCCATATGTTTTGTACACAGTTGTCAATCGGGGAACCTCTGTCAATCGGGAACCTTATTGTCCTCTATTGAAGCTATCCCCCATACACACACTTTTTGTGATGTCATAAGTGTGAAAGTATGATTAAAAGAGCACCTCTAAAGAAAACACGTTTCCTCTGATTTTATCTGTTCAAATAAATATGAAAACATCCAAATTGAACGCAGTGTCATTTGTCTTCAGATCTCAACTAAAACGAGCTTAAAAGGTTTTTTTCCGCTCATGCCAAGATGCGAAATCTGAATGTAGATTGCGTCATTCCAAGAAAACAGAGAAAACGAGGGGAACTCTCGCCCTGTCTTGGTAGTGGATGATCCATGTGCGTGCCAAACATTGCATGTAGCCATTGTTTGTTGATGTATGGTACTGACTCCACTTTAAAGTGTAGCCCATCTTCCAATGTAAACGAAATAAAAAGCAATCTGAACACAGCTCTTGATAGAGTCCAACATTGATACTTAAGAAACAAACTTGAACTAAATGCAAACAAAACTAAATGTATGATTATTGGCTCAAGGCAGAAAACCGAAAAATAAAGATTTGTACCTTTAAAATGCTGATAAATATTTAAAACTATTACAAATGCTTGGGAGTTATTAATGACAAAACACTTAGTTTGGGTCCAAATGTGGGATACGTGAGAAAAACAGTCTCGTCTAAACTAGGCATGTTAAAAAGACGTTTAACTAGGTATGTTAAAAAAGAAGTCGTATTTATGTTATAGACAAAGCAGCCTCCATACACTTTTTATTAGCTTAGCTATGCCAATTTTACGGTATAGGGAGGAAGGTACATATCTTACGATGATATCCTCAACAAATGCCTGAAACGATGATCCTTAAATGTACGTCACTCACCCCTACAGTGGATATGTTTGCCAGATAAATTGTGTACCATTCTCCAAGAGGGTTAACTATAAAATGGCAATTCTTGTCTTCAGATGTCTAAACACAATGGACTGTTATGCTCAAAGTTTCGCTATGAGTGCATGGTGCGAATATGGAATCATTTGTCTGCACAACTCAGGACAGTAGATTCCTTAGGTATATTCAAATCAGAACCACTCAAAACCATCCGTCAGTGACATGTAGGTAAAATGTGCAGACCTGCAGAGCTTATATGCTTCGTTCCCAATGTTAATGGAGCCAGCCAGATTCAGAATTTCTTTGATACTTTGGCATTTTGAATTTGTAAATATTCATGTTCGTGGTGTGTTAGCCCAATGTATTTGTATCAATAACGTTTATTACCAGATGCATTATGTATGGATTTGAAAGTGTTGGTTTATGAGTCTCACGTGGATTTTATGGTTTGGTTCAATCATTCTGAAAAAGACAGTCGATTAAACAAAACCCAGTGAATTTTCCCACAAATGGTTTTCTCGGTCATGGAGAGAGCAGATTGGTCACGTTCTTGAATTAGACACATCGATGAACTGTATAAAAATAGTCGATGCATTAATTTGGCCTAATAGAATAAACGGAATGATTAAATGGCATACATTTTGCCCAACTCATGTCTTGCGCATTTTGTTACGTTCACTGTTGTGAAGCTCTTGTATTGTATTGTTAACTTCTCTTTTACTGGTCTTCTTACACTTTTTCCCAGTGTGCTTTTCAAAACCACTTTTGCACAGTGCCATTAAAAATAAACATTATCGAGTTGTCTCCAAATCATCATCATAAGGAGCCGTCCATAAGGTAAGTACGCACGAAGGAAGGAGGGGGGTTGGTGCCGTTGCGCACACCATGCGTGGGGGGCCGGGTTCAAGCCTGTGCTTACCTTGCGCAACTTAAAGAATTTTCATCAAATCAAAACACCCTCTCATACCAATAACTACAGATTCAGCTTTTTTGCGTCAAAATTCAAACACAGTGACCTCTAGGGTCCACCCCACCATTCATCCTCTCATGCCAACCCCCGTTATTAGTAAGCCGCAACATTAATATAATTTCGTTTGGTTGAGCGAATTAGAACGAATTTAAGTTCCCATGGTGGAATATATCACTTCGCGTCGCGGAGGTGTACTGAGCAACAAGTCTCGGGTATACATGTATACGTGTAAGTCAGAGTGTGGCAAGAATGTACCATCTGCGGTCCGACAGGCAAACACTTCTTCCATCATAGCAACTTATTCTTATTATTTGCAAGGATTTTTTCTTAAAGGTATTTCCCACTGGGTTTTCCAACCTCCAAATAATGAGTGAGGTTGCGATGCTAATGGAAATAGCCATTGTGACAATTATTTATCACAAGCTTTTAATCACTTGTCATGAACCGTATTCCCTTCAACTTCAGTAGGCTATAGCATTTAAACGACAACGCACTAATTCGACTTTATAGTCATTTATCCTAACATTACATTGTATGGTACTAGTCAATAAGATACGTAGTATAGTTACAACGACTATAAAGGTCTTTTAAGTTACAGAGAGCAGTTTCTCATAATGTATAAAAGGAGTAATGCATAAAAGGGACTGGCATGCCTGTCCGTCGCCCTCCCAAAGTTGTAAATTAAATGTCATGGAATTATTAAGAATTCATGACACAAAGACCAGCAGCGTCTTCCGGCATTGTGGAATACGTAAGCGTGGGAGGGGGCTCTGATAAGTCAGCATTTCGAGCGAACATTCTTTATGGATGGCCCCTAAGCGGACGCTATAGGAGTTACTTAAATTTTGGCACGGGTAAATTTTTTTGTGTTTACTCCAAATTTACCCACTTTACATGGCGCCCTCCTATTGTGTTCGCCATACTTCAAAAAGGCAAATCAAATTTATCACCCCAGCCGGCAATGGTTTCTTTATTTCAATTGCACTCCAAAATGAATGGTTCGTTAAGGTTTGCACATACCGTCCGACAGAGTGAAAGTGCGGGCAGACGATGTCTGTAATTGTCTTTACCTCTTGTAAAGACAATGAGGGCGACGATCCAGAAAAAAAATGGACTCTCCGCGTGCGCTATGCATGCGTAAACGTACACACATGTTTTCATTAGCTGCTGGCTACAGCTGGATGTCTCACCTTGTCATAGTTCTCGGCCCATTGCTGGTAGAGCGCTTGAATTTCATCTTGGAAGTCGCTCCTATTTGCAGCAATCTCATGAATGGCATGAATCTGCTTCGCCGCTTCCGGCGCCCCACTCTTCGGCGATCCTGGAGAGTCCATCTTTGGCAGTTCAGCTTGCAATAGCAGTGCTTATCCCGGTGGGCTTTCCGTAATTGTTTGTTTTCGGTTTGCACAGGGCCTTGGCCCATGTGCTGTGTCATCCGTATACACCAGTTCATAATCCAATGAGAGATAGGTCACCGCTATGGGCTAAAAACACGTACAGTGCGTAAAGGCCGGTTCATATCCAGCCGGGCAAACACAAAGCGAAGCATGTTGGAAGTCGCAGCACACTGTCTTGCAACGTACTGACACATTTTGCAAGTTCGTTTCTACGCGATTCCAAAGTCTGTTTTCACGAGACAGATATTACGACGACTTTTTTTAAAGAACAAATTATTTCCACTTTTGAAAACCATCGTTTTTATGATATGGATTTTTTGTCAAGTTCGTTTTAGGACACTATATTTTGCCCAAGTTTTGATCGGAAGTCCCAATTTTGTTTCGCGGCGTGTTCGCTTTCTGGCAGATTGCGAACCGGCCTTATTTCAGTGCATTGCAAATACTCTCAAACCCTCGATAAAAGTGACATTTTATTGATTGTGCACAAACCATCGGTATCGCTGGTTTGTCCCTGACACTTCCTCGCAGAGTGATGGTAGTGATGAGGGTGACTGTGCTGCTTCGCGTTGTTTGCGGCCGTCTGATGATGTCATCAACTGGATCCAGTGCGATGGTTGTCAGCAACGGTACCACATGGCATGTGTCCTCATTAGACGGAAGCAGGCCGTTGATTTGCCCACATATTCCTACCCAGCTTGTGAGCGGAGGAGATGGGAGACCAGACGGGACATGGAGCGGCGCAGTGTTGGCACATCAGTCGAGGACCCACCCGTATTGGTTCCTGTCAGGCTGTTGTGGAACTCCAGAGGGGTCACCCAAATTTGGCTGACCAGATGAAGTCTCCCTCACCTGTGTACCGCAAGAAGGATGGAGTCCTGTATCATTATCACCAGGAGAAGTGCGGGAAATTGGTTGTGCCTCAGTCGTTAAGATCTGTGGTCCTACAGGCTTGCTATGGTCATCCTGCTGCTGGTCACCTTGGTACTTAATGGTAGAACCAAGACAACACACTGGTTGGATAGTCTTTGTCTGTGGGGGAGAAGTATGTGTAAAGATATCCGCACTTCAGTTCATTCGTGCATGCCAAATTTGTGGAGAAACGAAGCCAGTCTATAGTAAACCGCAGGGGTTGATGCTGACAACACATTCTGATGGTAGGAGACTGTTGGCATTGATCTAATGGGTCCCCTTCCACGCAGTCATGCTGGTCACGAATATCTGCTGGTGGTCTCATTATTCTAAGTGGATGGAAGCTATTCCGATCTGCAGGGCTACAGGCAGAGAGGTCGCCCGTGTGATCGTTAGACGGCTTTTCTGCAGCTATGGCGCTCCCAAGAAGTAACTCTCTGACAACGGGTCGCAGTTCACCTGTAAGGCTCTTGCAGCAGTTTGCCAGCAACTCATAGTGTACAGGGTGTCCACATAAAAAGTATACTGAGATAAAAATTACTGTAATAACAAAATTGCTTTATATATAGGAAAGAGAAATATATCTCTAGAAAGGGCAGAATGCCCTCTTTGCAGTGGTATACAGCTTGTGATGTTATTAACACAGATGAGTGAACAAACTAGACCGGTGTTAAGGGTACTGAAATCGGCACTGTGACAAGTTTGCATATGTGATTAACAAGACTAGACCATGCAAATGTGCAGAATAGCAAATGCCGTTCTACTCAAACTGCAGTGATTAGAACCTTTAAATTGTGTAACTTGCGTAACAGAACGTCACTGACGAAACGGGTTGAGAACTTCACATAATGGTTAACAACATCACATAATGGGTGAGAAATTCACATAATGGTTTAACAACTTCACGTAATGGATTGACAACATCGCATAATGGTTTGACAACATCACATAATAGATTGAGGACACAATCAAACNAGCGCCCTCTGTCGCGTCACAATAGTGTAGCGCCGCAGAGACTATCTTTGAATCAAACTACTTTCACAGATTAACATCATATTTTGGCACATAGTTTACTGTGTGCACAGCGTTCTCGATGCTAGTCTTAGCCCAAGACGTCAGTGATTGATAGCTGTTTTATTTCTGTTGAAGCGCGCCCTCGCACAACTAGTTTTTACTTACTCTTAATACGTGCGACCTGTCGCTGGCGAACAGGGGGCGCACTATGCACGGTGTCCGCTAACAAGCACTAACGTCTTGAAATCAAGACTAGCTGGATGCTTGGGTACAAACTCGGGCAAGCCGATGTGGCACTACACGACGCAATGGATATCGCACATTGTACGTACGTCGAGCATTGAATACGGATGGAGTGATCGGACAGCTAGACACGCATGCAGGTGAATTTTTGCTGATTTTTCGCTACTGACAGTCATGGCAGTTGCAGATCAGCCATCACAAATCAAAAATATGGAAAAAATGCTGCATCCTGACTCCACTTCAGCATTTGTGTACAAACAACATCAGTAGGCCTAAATGTTTCTCCGTGCAAAATTCGTGTTTTTCCCACATTTCTGCAACGACTGACTTTAATTGAGATGATATATGATGATAAAAGTGGAGCCAGGATGCAACATCTTTTCCTAAAATTCTATTTTCCATTATGGATAAAGCTTCACTTCAGTCACATCTGATCCTGCTCACACACACGTACACATGCGCAGGCATGGCATGACATAAGTCCCCCTATTTAACAATTTCGTACTTCGAGAACTGTATGAAGAAGTAAGGTTTTACAAATCAACGCCACACCGGGCCAGGAAGTATGCTTGCATACAGGGTGTCAGTTGATATCTAGAGGGGCCAATTTCATAGAGCCGCTTAAGCTCAGAATTTGCTTAAGCATAAAAAAACCTTGCTTAATAATAATAAAGGTTACCAGCTCAAACTCAATGTGATTGTCATGCCAACCAAAACACAGGTAAATACCATTACAAAACAATATAAATGTCCGTCGCACATATCACAAGAAATTTTGGTTGGTAGGCTATTGGTAACCTGATTTGTCAAACAAGGTTCATGTACATTAAGAATGACCTATATCTCCACTTGCTAATTCATTTCACGGTTGAACAAACACCTCACAGACTCTGCATAATCTAATAATACTATGCACAGAAGAACTTCATAAGACTGCATAACTAAATAGCAAAAGTAGCCTTGAAGTTGATGCCCAAAGGTTTATTTACATGATGGCCTCATTGCGCTACTATTGGCTTCAGTGCCCCCTTATTTTGACCAACCCATTAAGGTAATTTGGCCCTGCCCCTCAAACAACGAAATTCGAGGCCTGCATCTTAAAGAAAGGCTTGACTGTGTGAGACTTAATTATTAAATCAAGTGATCCAGATCAAGTGATCCAGATCTGTTGACCCAGAATTGCCCTGGTCATAGTTAAATAGAAAAGTTAGAAAAGCACATAAACGTTAACCACGATGCAATTTGGCAGAATTTCTAGTCATTTTATAATTAATCTTTTCATAGGTTTTTGTGGGAATAATGTATGTACATGTGTTCTCATGGAGTTGTTTCAACCTTATTGTTATTTCACGCAGCGCATTCACTGCAATGGCTGTTAGAAGTGTGCTGCCCTCTCACATGAAATCTTTCGCAGCACCGCAAACCAGCTCAGCTGTGTGCTTCCACTGTGGGGGATTTGTCACAACGACCAAGAAGAAGAATTCCCCCGAGTGCCAGACCAATCTCCCAACTCTCAAACCAGCGACCCAACTTCACACGGGGCAGCTATGCTGCACCGACAGCTCCGCTGATGATGTGAGGGGTGGTCCCCCATGGAGGGTGATGTTCTTTGGCTCAGACAACTTTTCCATTTCCAGTCTGAAGGCATTGCATAGAAACAGGTACATATGTAGAGCTAGCTGCTGAGTGATGCCACTTGGGTTCCTTCCAAGTGCATCACTTGGTGGTGTTACAACATGCGTTAGTTATGTCTTTACGTGTTGTAGGTGCATACTCAACCCACAAACTGTTAAAATGCACCCCGTTCAAAATGTGTGTTGATGAGAGCTGACCATCTCTACCCAGAGGTGACCGGCTTTTGTTGTTATTTCTTTCAAATTTATTTGTCTTGGGCACAATTTGGTTTGGCATGACTTTGATATACATGTACCATTCTTAGCCTTGTGTCAGACCCCTGTTATCAAGCACGTACATGTACATGTAGTTCTAAGCAAGATGTTAAGCAAAGTAAGTTATGCTAATCTCATGTACACAACCCATACTCAAGGCTAAGGCTGAGACTTTTTCCACAAGCTGTTAAGGCCAAGGGCCTCAAATATCAGCCTTAAGACAGCCGTAATGCCATAGCTGAGCACCAAGGCACTACATCACTGGCATGAATCTAGAATAATACTATACATTTCGTCCATGAAATGATTGTACTAGCCAAATGCTGACAGAACTACACTGACAACATATCACAGATGCATGTGTCAGTGTTGCATTCGAGTCCATCACAAGTCCAGTCACAAGTCCTTTCACAAGTCCAGTCACAAGACCTTTCACAAGTCCAGTCACAAGTCCTTTCACAAGTCCAGTCACAAGTCCTTTCACAAGGCCAGTCTTAGGCATGAGGGTGAGCAATGACAAAAGAATGCTTTTGTCACAGGTCATTTGAATAGCTTGTGACTTGCATCACGTACCGTCAGACTGAATGACTTGTGAGGGACTTGTGACGGACTCAAATACCACACTGGTACCTATGCGTGTACATCTATACAGTACAAAACAACATGGTTGCCAGTGTCCAAGGAGAAGATCTTTTGGTACATGTTGACCTGCTGCTACTTTTTTCATAAGGGCACGGGAAAGACTGTCACTGCATGCATGAATACTGTTTTTGTCATTCTATGATGGGTGTTTCCATCTAAATGCACTCTGCTTGTGAACAATTACATGTACATTGTGGGTGTAGTTCAAGATTGGGGTAAAAGCTATTTCTAAAAGTTTGATTTTTAACCTCAGATTTGGGGACTGAAATTTTGCGTTGTCTCAGACCGGCAGTTATGTAGGCAGCTCATGCCAAAAAACATTTTAGGCACCACCCCTCCCTGTCGATAAACAAATCCTGACATTTTCTGTGATTGCCATCAATTTTTGAATTTCCAAGTAATATTTGCCATGTTGTGTGATTTTTTGTTTTCGCAGGGAGGAAGGAAAACTCATAGATATCTTGCACATAGTTTGCCCTGAAACAAAGGTGAGCCTTAGACGAGGTTTGTTCGGCCCCAAAAAACGGGAAGGGGTCGGGGAATCATCAACCACCTTTTTTTTACCAGAAGTAGGCAGAGAACAAGGCCAAAAAGGTGCTTTGTAAATAGAATTCTCCATATTTGTTCTGCAAAAGTGTACACCTGTCCACCCTGTGAATAGACATATAAGTACACTTCTCTTTTGGCTCTGGAGAAATAAAAGTCTCCTTAAAGCAAACATTTGCCATTTTAAGAGCTCCATGCTCAAACCAGCCTGCAAACTCGGTGGTAAGACATCTGCACTAGTTAGCTGGTGGTTGTGGGTTCGAGCCCCTCTTGAGTCTGCTTGTGAGTTTTTTTGCAGCCCCCTCAATCAACACCAAGCATGCATTGTTATGAGGGCCAAAAGTTCAGATAAGCTTTTTGGATTCCATAATATGAACTGGAATACAAAACAGTTGATAAGCCAGGGCACTAAAAAGTAGAAACACTCTACTGAGGCGGTTTGAAGTTCGTTCATTTTTCTTTTGCACTTTTAACTTTCCCGTAGTATATCAAGAGGAGGGGCAGGACACGGGTGATCTCACCAATATGGCAGTATTGCCATGACAACGGCTTGACAACCATCCCATGGCCCATCAGGGGAGAGGTCAGAGGTTACGATGTCGGTGTCTTGTCATCCTTCGGTCATCTGGTACCCGGCAGCCTTATAGACAGTTTCCCATAGTGAGTGAGTACCGCTGTTCGTGTGAATTCTTTCTGTACAGTCTGTTTAGGACATGAGCTTGGTTGCCTGGCTGGCCACCAGTGGCCACGTGTATCCAAGCAGGGTGTACAGGTTTGTGACGTGCTGTAATGACGCTCAACTAGATTCACTCATGCTGTTGTGCAGATGCGAGGTACAATGGAACCAGTTGTCAATCTTAAGCCCTCCGGTCATTGAGTCAAATCACAAGTCCAAATTCATGAGTGAACTGTGACAAAAGCATTCCTTTGTTTTGATCGTTCATCTTTTTATGCAAGACTTAATATTAGGTAAAGACTTGCGGCTGGGATGTGTAAGACTCTACTGCAGCACTTGTTGGAACTACATTCAACCACTTCCGTCTCTGTTCTGACATGATAACAGCCTTGGACCCAAAGGGAAAATTCCATTCCACAAAGTATCCATGAAGCAGAGCATAATCTTTCTGCTCTACCGAACAACTCCCACTATTTCAAGGACGATCTTCAATCAAGCATGAGAATAATTCTATGTGGGGCTTCCATTAGTGTAATAATGAATTGACAATGGGAATATGATGAATTTTGTAGCTCTGCCAAGAAAATTCCTAACAGATTCTCCTCTGTCACACGGTGACTTAGACCCTCTGTTTATACTTTGATACTTTTGCTAGTTGATTTTGTTTTGTTGACACAGTGGAATCGCCAACATTCATCCCAGCCTCTTGCCGCGATGGAGGGGGGCGTCCCCTATCAACCATGCCATCCTGGAAGGGGACAACACGACGGGTGTTTCCATCATGAGAATCATGGCCAAGAGGTAAATGGAAGGGGTCATAGGTCACTGGGGTCAATTAGGGCCAATTTGGGGTTGAAGCCAGTCTAGGCTTGAGAAGATTGACACTAATTCCTCTTTGTCAACACCCAAGTAGGTTTCTGGTCTTAACTGGCAACCAGAACTCGAAGCTGTCACTGAGATGGGTTTATGCTTGTTTGCATGTGGCATTAGATGCATTGGATGCGGCAGTAGATGCATTGGATGCGTGCTTTTTGACCCAAAACAAGTTCACAAAATGCAGCCTTCCTCTTGTTCACTTTTAGAAATACGAGAAACTGTTTCCCGATCCATTGGTTTGATGGAGAACTTCCTTTGTGATCTCTGTGTCTCACTGTGTCTGTTCTGATCAAGGTTTGATGTTGGCCCCATCCTCCTCCAAGAAAGCGTGGAGATTCCCGAGAGAAGCACAACAGAATCCTTGCAAGAAATCTTGGCCAGTAAAGGAGCAGATATGGTGAGTGGCATGATTCAAGCAACAGGCTCAATCACGTATGAAGCCAGGACTGTATAGACTTGTGGAACAGTTTGTTTGTACACTTTCAAAGTGCACTGTATCTCTTGCTTTGAGTACAGGCTATGGCGGCACATGTAGGAACAGGCTCTTAAAGTACAGATCAATGTTGTCCCATCATCTCCAAGTAGCATTAGAGGTGCAGAATTCAGTAAACGTTATTTGCAGGGAAGCCATATTTGATCGTGTCTCAAGAATCTATCCGTATTTGGTGTAATCTGTTAAATTTGGTGGTGTCAGGCTGTGGTAGGTTTGATTTTTTTTAAATATGGTGTATAACATTTAAATATAATGCATCACATATTTTAAATCGTGCACCAGAATAAAATGGCTCTAATTTGTAAGGAACATTCATTTCATTGCTTTCATTTTTATCGTTTGGTTTCCACAATAAAAAGAAATTAATGTCCTTTCAGTCTCATATGGCCAAATTTTGAGAATGAGGGCAATTCAAGGCGGCATCTTTCTCACATGCAAAACTTCTCAAAGCTCAGTTCCACTTCATCTCAAGGTCATGCTGGAGCCCCTTTCTTTCAGGTTGGGTCTGATGAGGTCCACCCACTACCAAATTACCGAGGTGTTGCAGTCTCCATCTTTAGCCTATGGAATTTTCTTCCTGGGGATTTGTGACAAATATGTGACACCACACTTCTTTTTTCAGTAGCGCAAAACGTGTCTGCTCGCACGTTTTCCTTATCCCTTCCTTTCAGTTGAGATGTCTTTCCTAGTGCCATCTAGACGAGTGCTTTGAATGTCATTAATTTGTTACTTACGAATCAATAATTGAATAAGTGATGTCTCAGTGACTTCGATTTTCTGTCCTTTACATTTGGATCCTTTGCTGTTCAGATCCTGCAGGTTCTTGCTGACTTGCCGACATTCATAGCCAAGAGTAGAAAGCAGACCGACGAGGGGGTTACGTTGTGTGAGTAATGCAAAGCAGTGATCTGAGCTGGAAACTGATTGTCCTTGCTGAGCAGTATGAATAATTCAAGACTCTCAAAATTGTTAACAATGGCAAACTGAAGTTGGTTAATATGAGTTTGAAGGTGTCTTCACCCGTTTCAGACAGGTGTTATAGTGTCGCGCCGAGCCAAATAGAATTAAGAACATCTCAGGTCGGCCAAATTAAGTTTTGGTTTCAGACAGAAGAACTTAATGCATGTACATTTGCATTGGGTTTGGCTCATGAAAAGAGCAATGTCTGAAACCATGTCGTTCTGGCGTCATTCCGACCGCCTCCTAGTGTCAATCTCTTGTGTGCATTGCTCTTAACTGTTTCAGACGTTGATCTTTAGCCGTACTTAATTCAAAATTTGCTTTTAAGTTGGCACGACTCTGGAAGGCCTGTCTGAAACAGGTGGTACTTTCCAAAAGTTCTCCTCATGCAAAACTTCTCAAAGTCAAAAAGGGAGTTGGTGAAGAAAATCCTTCTGTTTGATAAAAAAGATACATTTTCTCTTGAACTAAAAATACTTAGTTCACAGAATTAAAGCATCAAACTCTGGCGTCATCCAAGGCAAGCTCTCTGCTCCCATGATTCAGAATTTTAATTCTTTAGATTGTACTTAAATGCACACACACAAGGTTCCATTTTATTTCATGCCTAATGGTGCAGGGGTTTGCTAGATACATCAGCTTTCCTGTTCATTTACATGCGCGTAATTTTGTCTACAAACTTTCTTGTGTTCATTTGAATGATGTGTTCTAGGTGGTAAGATCGTCGCCAGCATGTCCCTTATTAATTGGAACAAAAGTTGTTCAGAGATTGACAGGTTACATCGAGCCATCGGCCACCAGGTAAGTCATTTTCACCTCTTTATTTTTGGCATGCTCTTTGTTCTTTCCTTTGGGAGCGTTATTATTCCACCCTTTCTGTCTGTTCCATCCCTCATCCTCCTGTCCACTGTAAACTTTTAATCAGAGCTGTCAGTGTACAGCTTGATTTAATTGTTACGGTTTATTATACATTTAAGAAATGAATTCATTGCAGTAGTAGAAATGGCTTCATGAGGCGACAGTTAAAAAAAATATTCATCTTGTGAAATTGTTGTTTCCATTGCAGGAATGTGAAGCATATAAAATATATAAATTATATAAAATGCCTGAATAAACCATTTTTGTGTCCAAGTCATCCTTGCGTGTTTCTCCTTCTGGCATAAAAGCTTGATGTTGAGTTTTCACATTCCAAGCTGCGTCTAAACGTTTGTCTTCATGAAGAGCCGTGACTCATGACGAGTGCACTGACTAAATCTAAAAATTATGCAGCAGCACTTCCAGCACATACGTGGTATGGTCACGTACAGTAGTTATGATCACTCCCTTGAATACACCAAATTTTACGAGACCACATGATCGACGACCCACCAATCATAGGACGGGGATTTATTCAGGGACTGTGTAGTATCGGTAGTGTAGATGCTACTAATTGAATGCATGGAGCTGTTTTCTTTGGCTTGCAGTCATGTAATTGGTTTGAAATGTATTTCTCTCTTTTTGTCGTCAGTTTCCACTTGAAACCAGCTGGCGAGGTAGCCAGATAAGGCTTAGCCAAATGGCCGATCCCAAGGACACAGCAGGTATGTATACATTGTAGTCCAAAGCTTTGGTGAAGCTTAATCTAAAACAACCCGATGAAAGCCTTGCTTGTCAGCTGTTGCAGTTGGTCCTCCTAACAGCATTACGGGCTGTGAGAACTTTGTGCTGAGCCACTGTTGTGGGACAGTGACTCCATACAAAACCTAACACGTGGCTGTCCACCATAAGGATGGGTCATCAGGAATGTTTCCAATTCTACACTCTGGGCTTTTGTTCCCCCATATCCGTCCGAATCATTGCAGATAGTGTATTTGGGGAAGTTACAGTCAAACCCTTGGAAACCATTTCTGCACAATGCCTGTGTTCCACAGGCTTCAATGAGAATTTCCTAGATGGAGGCGATCATCCCTGGAACTCAGGAAATCGATGAATTTTTCTCCTTGGTTAAACCACCGCCCAATCACAGATTCGCATTCAACCCCCATATCATGAGGCTAACAGGGTAATGAAACACACTCATCTATTGATGTCTTAAATAAAATGCAGTGAAATGACAGAGAATGGATATAACCAGGAATGTCTTTCAATTGGGTCAGAGCACAGTCAAACCTGCCGTTGCGGCCACCTTGCTGCGGCAGCCGCCTGGGTAAACTGGCCGCCTTTGGTCGGTCCTAGTCTCACTTAAACAAACCGTAACCACGTCTTGCTGTTGCAGCCACTGCGTAATGTGGCCTGTGGCCAACCCAGATCAAATCATTTGTATACAATTAAATTGCTCTGAAACCTGTGTACGCTGGCGTCAAAAAATGTACATGTATGTAGAGTTATGTAGATTTATTCTTGCGTCTCGAGAGCAAAAGAAATTAACATGAAGTCTTTGTTTCAGATTGATAAGATTGAGTTGATGAGTGGAATTAGATGTATATGCACAGATGGACGCACCTGTATGTGCATGTCTGTAATAGTCATGGGCGTGTACATGTACATGTGTACAGCCTTGCTGTAGTGACCACCTGCTGTAATGGCCATGTACAACCCATACCACGGGTGACCACTGTATCAAGGTTTGACTGTATGTTATTAAGAAATCAGTCATTTGTGTCAAACTGATTTGACAAGTCAGTTGTTTGCACAAGTGACAGCCTGCTTTTTTTGTGGCCTCGAGCAAAGTATGATCTATTGAGAAAACGTTCTGTGCTTTCCCTCTATGTATGTAGCGTGGGATATCGATGTCATCGATCCAGCATTAGGTGAAGTGTGTTACAACAAGGCAAACCAACAGATCTGTGTACGGTGCAAGGTGAGCCAATGTCTGTTTGAGCAGTGAAGATGTTTGCAAAGAATTCTTTTCGGGTGATGTGCCCCCCCCCCAGATACTGACCAATGGCCTGTCAGTGCGGAGGCTGTGTGTAGGGCTGTGCTTTCGTTACCTTAACCCAAAACAGATCTTCGCTGTGGTCACCAGTTGGAAGTTTTCACAACTTCGGTTATGCCTGTGTGGTGTCACGTTTCCCACAACACAAGAGCTGAAAGTCGGAGTTGGCTTATTGCCAGTTCAAAATGGCTGAAAATTCGCAGACAATTTTTGTATCATTTCAAAACTAACTAAATTATGGGCAATTCCATTGTTACGGACATTACGTTTGTATGCAATTTCCAGGTTTCAATTGATAAACTGCCTATTCAGAGCTTGTCTGTACATTGGTGCCCATGATTATTGCTGTAGTCATACATAGTGTGGACCTCTGCACAAAAGACGTCCACATAATGCAAGGTATGATGGCGTTGTGTGGACATGCACATGTCCACTCAATGTTTCCCCCTCTCTGAAAACAGTGTCAGAGGCGTTTTGGGGTCAAGGTTATCCCTGGCAAAATGAAGAGGAACAGTCCAGGAAATCATCATCAAAAATCCAGCTCAAAGGAGTTATCCTAGTGGGAGAAAAAAGAGCATTTACCTTAACCACAGGAGAGCAAAGGAATGTCCACACTTCGTATGTAAAACAAGTGTTTCTGTGCAAACCGAGAGTTGTGAAAAAAAACCACAAGTCTGCTTGGTGGTGATTTGAACCCACAAGTCCCTGGTCGCTATGCACCAAGTAGTAAATACTTGGTGGATTGCCAGTTTCTGTCAACGAGAGTCTCACACTTGTCCCCATGATCCTTGCTTGCTGCTGCTGGGATCGGCAAATGCAAAATACAGAATTTTGTTAAGGAAGTGCAATTATTGCAAAGCCTTGTGGATAATTTACTACCTCAAATGCTTTATGTGCACAAGGACCTGTGTTATTTATATGTATTTAGTCAGTGAGGATTCAAAGAAATCACATTGTGCACATCCCAAGGAAATTAGCCCATCCTTCAGCACGCTTTCTTACCCTGACAAACCGTGCATTGTAGTCTCTGCAGTGGATGACCCTTCCCTGGTTCTCACGACCCTAGTAAAATCCAGTCTGTCACTTCCTTGGTACCCGTCGTGGCCCAAACAATGTGCATTGAGGGGTTGCAGCATTGGTAACAGTTTCCCGATACCCATTCCTCCTGCAGTAGTAAATGTTCAAAGTTTAAATATCTTTTGTTGTGGCTGCACAATATTGCTAATCTTTTGCAGGATGGCTGGGTGAGCTTTAGAGAAGTGACCTTGAAGAAAAAGATGACAGCGCAAGACTTCTATAATGGTTACATGTCAGGACAGGATAGAGGCAGGCAGTATTTTGTGTAACACTCCTCGTTGAAGCAGTGCATTTCTAATGACTCCTGTTATGGAGGGGCAAGAATACAGAGGGGATAATATTTCATATAACACCATGCCAGCGCATGCCACCAGATGTAGAGTACCATAAGGTAACCTTAACTCAGAGCTTGTATTGATGGCTGTAACACATAGAACGTGCAGCATTATACGTAATTCTGAAGTAGGAAGAAACTTTTGTTGAGATATGCTGGAGTAAAAAGTCAGTTTATTGCACTACGTAATACACCCCAACACTTTTGGTCATGGTTGTATATCTATCATGTCGTAAAGAGGCTGATGTGAATGATCTTGTACCATGTCCATACTGACAAAGAAAATGTCACAGAGCTACTTCTTCCCTTTGAAACTAACTTGTACATTTTTCCCTTGAATTGAAACCAATGCCAATAAAAGTTTGCTTGTGGTTGAATTTAGAAACACAGTTTTCTGTTCTCGTGTATCTTTTTTGATGACTCTTTGAAATCATGGCAAGCTTGACCTGTCATGGAAGCCAAGGCACAGATAGCTGGAAGACAAGATGTTTGTTTTACCAGGGCAGGCAATTGGATGGTCATTCCTCTTAGAGTTTTGGGGGAATGATCCCTCATCATGGATTAAGTATGGTGTAAAATACTTCTTGTTCGTAGTTTGGCGAAATAGTAATTCGCCTGGGCGGAATAGTAAAGCCTGTTCACACTTCAGGCGAAAGGGGAGCAAATACGATGTCCAGAAAAATTGCCGCGAAATTTTGCTCTGTTTGGAATGTGTTCAACTTTTGCGAATTCGTAACACGAATATTTGATTTTACAAATTTGCGCTCGTTTGGCTTTTGCGCCAAATATGAAACGGCCTTTAATCCGCCCGCGGGCGAAAGAGTTAGGCCAAAATATTCTAATTTCAACTTTTATTTTGACTTGATATGCACGAACCCGTGTACTTTTTCCTTTAAAGCCACAAACTACGAAAGAACTCAAGTACACGTTTTTAAAAAGGCGAAGTATATTATATTTCAATTTTATTTTTTTTTTTTGCATTCGCTATTCGAACTTTAAGCTTTGAAAACGGATTCGGTGGCGTTACGTTTGCGCCTAACTCCTATGAATCCACTTTCCTCGATTCTTCGATAAGCCCGTGCATTGCGGAAATTGGTATTAGTACAAACAGCGGGAATGGTTTCTTACCGACCCCGGGAAGCGCAGGCCATTTCCTACAAGCACTTGCACAAGTCGGCAGTGCCCCTTTTTCATTTTCGTTAATTTTATTTTTACCATGGTAAGGTTTTCTTCAATTCTAAATCCATTACACTTCTTAACATGCGCTGAAACTTAAGTCTCGCTTCGTTGACTAGATGCAGTTCTCCGCCAGGCAAGTAATTTAAAATGTAATAAGACTTTATATCAGAAACCGTCTGCAGAGGGCCTTGACTGGAGAAACCCAAACAAATGAAATTGGTTTCTTTTATGTTGTTTGATCAAGGAGTATAAATCTGTCAGGTCATATTTGTCAGTCTGCCCGTCGGTCAGATTGGCCATGTTATTATGCCATTGAAGCAAATGGATGATGAATGTGCGAACATAATGCATACACTGCTGATGACATTTTTTCGGGGGAGTCAAAACATTTTTCGAACGTCTTTAGAACCTTTTGTGAAATCTGAGGGGCGATAAATAAATTTCGGGGCTTTTTTGTCTGAGATTTTTCGCGAGGGGGGGGTTCAGTCTGGTGATCTTTTTTAATTTTGCGGAGAAGCGGAAACAATGAACACATTACATGACACAATTGTTTACAGTGGAATTGGTGCACTTCCTTTATTCCTGTTTTAGAGAGGGGGGTTCGAACCACCCCCCCATTCTGGCTTTGAGCAGGAAGGGAAAAAAGAAAATGCCCCCAACAAAATCATTCATTACGGGTTGATTATAATTTTTATCTTTAAATACCCCTAGGGGAATAGCTCCAGACCCTTCCCCAGATCCGCCAGTGTGAAGAAATTGTGTTCATGAAATGAATTCAAGGCCTAGGTCTTGGTACCTGCTAAACTTGTGCCCTCTGATGAGAGTTTTGGAAGTAACCTCCAGCAACACCTGTTCTCAGAATCTTCAGCCTCCTCGAAGCGAATATTAAGTTGCCCCAGATAAAGATAATTCGCGCAGGTGGGCCTCTTCTATAGCACATGTGTAGTCTTAGGTCGTGTCCGAAACGGGCTTCCCGAGCTACGGCTAGGTCTATTTTCTGCGCATCTCCACACATTTCCAATGAAGCGAAGACCTAGACCTAGCTCTAGACAAGAGATTTGGATGTGGCCTTAGTCTAGATCCCGCCTGTCAGAGACAGTCCTCCATGGTCTAATATTGATAATATCTTGATAACCCACTGTTGCTAGTGCAGTTCTTGATCGCAATACTTTTGATAAAACTCACTTTTGCTAGAAAACCCCGCAATATTGTAAATGGGGCGGCTGAAGAATGAGTTCTAAAAGCAAAACTTTACGATTCCGTTAAGCATTGGCCTTGTGGGTCAAAGTCTTGGCCTTGAGAATCAAAACCTTTGCTCCAGCACTGGCTTGTGCTCAGTCTGACATGTGAAATGACATAAACGGTGACGTGATCATGTAATTTATGAAAAAAATGAATATTCATTGACAACCATCTTGCATCTTTATCCGAATAACATTTTGACAATCTGAATTTGCATCTTTTAATTAAAGGATAGCTGCAATCAATTCGTTTTAATGTAAACGTTCGAAATGCAGCTGTTGTCGCACTTAACCTTACTTTCAACTTCTGTTTTACTATTTTTTTCCGTCTAGGCCTATATTGTTTTTATGCTAACGAGTATTTCCCTATGAGACCCGAGTTGGACCAAGAGAGGGCGCAGTTTTCCCAGCAACGCAAGCTCATCTGGTATATAGGAACTGCATTTCGCTGGTTCACAAACGACTATGACATGGATGCGTTACTGTCGCATCGCTACCAACGAAATTAGCCCTCCAGACCAATAATGACTTCAAATACATGAGGGGGTTTTCTGCTCAAAGCAGATTGATAAGTAAAACTGTGTTGCTATCTCAGCCTTTAATATAACATTGGTCTGTGTGCAGAAAGTCCTACGTATTTGTAGATTTTGGTGGACTGAATCTTTTCTTGTTTGTTGATTCGTTGTTGTTTATGCTCACATCAATAACCAAACATCATTCCCTTTCTCAGAAATGTTTTCGATGAGTAAAGTTTGGGTTCATAAACAGAAAAAACATATGCAATGAAGTATGTCTTCCCTGGATGACTTCACAGCAACACGCAAGTTCAGTTAAGCATGGATAATTCATGTGTTTAAACGTTGTCCCTTGTGCTTCTTTAATCAAGTAGGAATGTAAAAGAGTTTTCATACTTTGGAGAAGGGAACTTGGTTGCAGAAAAAATGCGTCTCAGAAAAGTCATAGCAATTACACTTTGAAACAAGGAGATTCTTATCAGCTAGTGTCTCAAATGTTGATGAATTTTGTTAGAAAGCTCCGCAAAAGAGATATCATTGATTGCATGTGAAGAAACAACACCCCTTTTGAGGCGTATAAGTTTCGAAACTTTTTTACAACTTGAACATTTCCAAGAACCAACAGGGAATGCGAATTACTTATAATAATTTAATAGTGCATTAAGATTGGAAAGATTAACACCAAGATCTTCATGATAGTTATAATTTGTATTCAAAATGGAGAGTTAGAGTCTCTTAAAAACTTATTCCCGATTTAACCTCCGGCTGTCATTTTATGTTAGTAAAGAAAACGAAAGAAAATGGCTCCCCCCAAAAGAAACATGGTGTACAATTTACATAATATTATGAAAGAGTTCAGACATGCAGACAGGTGTTCTGACGTGATCCGGGGACTTGCCCATATTGGTGCACGTGCATTGAAAAATACTAAGGATAAGCTGTCAGGGAGAATGTTGACGATCATTACTTGTGCGTATGTGTATTTTTGCTACGCGATGCATTATTGTGACGTGTTCATCATTCAGGCTTTACGGAAGATATAACCAGCAAGAAATGAGACCGAGGGGTACCCCCAACATGTCCAATCCCTATACACGTTCCAGACTATTGTTACTTAACACATCCCCCAAGATGTCTGAAAGGTATTCCCCAGATTCCTGCGAGACAATGACCAACACAAAGCAGGGGGTTCTCTCCATCTCATACCTTGCTGCATATGACAGAGGAACATGATGTAAAGTTAAAGGTTAATGGTTTTGTTATCTCCTTAATACGAATGGCAAAATGCAAGTTCTTTGAAATGGCCGAATGGTTAAGCTCGCGGTTGTCAGATCGTTAGTCGGTGGGTTCGAATCCCAGCGGTAGCTTTTGATTGTCCCAAGCTTGCTGTCAGTCAGTAGCTATAATTAGGGAGAAGTAAAAAAAGTACATAACAAAAAATTCAGGTTTGGCATTCCTGCCCGCTTCCTCTGTTGGGGGCCACCTGGATTTATTGTTATTTATCCCTTCCCAAATGAAAAAAACCAAAACCCAAAAGAGGCCAAAAAGCAATCTCAATCATTCTATCAGAACGTGTAAGAATTGCCAGTTGGAACTGCTAACATTAGAACCTGTCCTTAATTTTCCACATCATGCACTAAACCTGATTATTATATGGCTCCATCCGAATGTGGACTTTGGCTGCAAATAGAACACGCGCCAATGGAAACAGGTGGGTTTTTTAAATTTGTGTGGACAAACTCCAACTATAAGATGGGACCAATCAACACTGCCTCATAGAGTTCATCAAGTTCCTGTCCTAACAATCCTATGTTATTAGGCACTACTAGGCAACCAGCGCGGCTAAAAATGACATATGGAATAATGTAGAAATATCAAGGAGGTTCCGTTTTAAAATTCAGCATGCGTGTCTCCGTTGGTCAGTGTTTTTATTTTTCCAGTGTCATCAAACGATGTACAAACGTAGCAACGAGTATTCCAAATAAAATACAAAAAATCATGAAGGTTTTTTTTCAAGTGTAATTTTTTTTAAAGGGGTGCTGTTATGGTGGCCGACGAACCAACAACCACCTTTGTATTCGGCACGGTAAAAACAGCCACCGATATGGCTTCAGTCGATGCAGGAGCATTGCGAATCCAGACTTTTTATTTGACGTGCTGACAGCTGTCTAGAGCTACAATACTGGTCCAAATTGTTGGGACATCGACATGTATCAAAACCCACACCGCCTCCCCAGGTTGCACAGACCATAACCCCTGAGACACAGCATTGACCGAGAGGGGAGGGGGTTGGTCAATGCTTTGAGATTTGGCTGGGACAGGTGCAAACCACGCGCCTCCATTTTCTATTGCGGTAGCATACATCCCATATGCTGCAAGGTATGAG